AAGCAGAAGCTGCACGCACAAGGAATTCATTCACTGCTGCCCATGGGCAGGCAGGTCTTCAGCCATCTCCAGCAAAGCAGGGGCTCCGTCATGCATAACGGTTACTTGGGAAGACAAAGGCCATCGCTCCAAATGCCCCCCACCCCCCTTCTTCCCCAGCTTTCTATGCTGAGCATAAGGCCATATGGTATAGAATATCCCTTGGGTCAGTTGGGGTCAGCTGACCTGGCTGTGTCCCCTCCCAACTTCTTGTGCACCCCCAGCCTACTCACTGGTGGGGTGAGAAGCGGAAAAGGCCTTGACTCTGTCTAAGCACTGCCCAGCAGTAACGAAAACATCCACGTGTTATCCACACTGTTTCCAGTACAAATCCAAAACACAGCCCCATACCAGCTACTGTGAAGGAAATTAACTCTACCTCAGCCAAAACCAGCAGAAATATACATCTCCCAAAATGATCTACATCTAGGTGACTTCAGAATGCGATAATATGGATACTTACATACAAAATTTGGAATGCAAGCCTATACTGAGATGAAAGATTGATTACTTGACACTGCTTTATATTCTGTTAAGAGACTATTTTGCCAACCTCTACTCACACCTTAGCGGTTTACTCTAGGTCCTTTTGACTAGCCTTAGTTTTAGGGGAAAGTCTTTATGTGTTAAGTTACTTATCCATTTCTGAGCTACAAAAGGGAGTAAAGGAATGACAACGTCACGCAGCAAAACCAATTATTTCATTTTGTTGTTGTTGTTTGGTTTTTTTTTAATGGGCAGCAAAGTAAAATTATTGTTAAAATTACACATTAATAGCTTGTGGTTTTGTGAGTAATGTTCTTATTTACTATTTGCATATTTACAGCTATTCTTTCACTTACAAAGAGAACGTTCGTTTCCTGAGCACAGAGCCAGATTTTATGCTGCTGAAATAGCCAGTGCACTGGGCTACTTACACTCCATAAATATAGTGTACAGGTAAGTTTCTGAAATGTATCCTTGTCCTGCAGAAGTTCCAAATAGGAGAAATTACTAAATAAAAACCACTACATGAAATCATCTTAGGAAAAACTTTTCCAGCTGAAGAATAAAAGTCCTTGCCTCCGAAGCGCTTGTGTTAGTGACTGCTGTTTTGAATTAATACGATTTTTTTTTATTTAAATAGGGATTTAAAACCAGAAAACATTCTCCTAGATGCACTAGTAAGTACACTGCGTTATTTTTGGTTCTCTGTGTTCTCTCACAAAACTGACGCTTGCGTATATCCACATGTTGACCGTGTTCTGTTTTAACATGCCGCTCTTTGTTAAACAGGGTCATGTTGTATTGACAGACTTTGGACTTTGTAAAGAAGGGATTGCAACTTCTGATACCACTGCAACTTTCTGTGGGACGCCAGAAGTATGTTGACAGCTTTCATGTGTTTTGACTAGCAATTAGTGAGCTTTGACTATTAATATCTGTGTAGCTGGAAGATCAAATACTCCATTTTGTACTATGGGAGTTTTGCATTCTTTTAACAACCTCTTCCATGAAACCAAACCAAAGACAAGCTTCCTGTGGATCTGTTCTTTGTCCTTTTTACGAATATGCAGTGTCTCCTAATAAACTACCCACATCCCCATAACTCATCTCTTCCTTCTTCCTTTTTTCCAGCCCTTTTCAAACATTTTGTTCCTCCAGTGTCTCCTAACTGCTGGCTAGTGCAGGGCAGTTAGCTTGTGTAATAGCTACAACAGGTTTGCCAATATGAATCTGCTTACCATATTCTGCCACTGATTTTTAGTAAGTTTATAAAGACTTGATATCAGCAAGTCTTGAGAAAATTTTGCATATGCGTGACATTGAACTTGCTGACTGAGTGTATTCAACTCTGTTGTCTCTTTGTACTAAGAAAACTAGGCTGGAAAACTCAGAGTCTGGAGGTCTTGAACACATAGGAGGGATTCAGTGAAATGCCAGGGTTAGTGGCTTTGATAATTTGATAAACATATTTTAAATTACAGAAAAGGCCTTTGAAGGCAGTGAGGGATGAATGATGAGTAGTATTTAGCTGAAACATTTGAACTCAAAAAAAAAAAAAAAGGCAGGTGGCAACTTGTGACAACTTAGCCTAGTTGTGATCTGAGTAGGAATGCATGAAGCTGAGTGGTAAATGTGAGCTGAAATGGTATTTTTTGAATGTTTTGGAAAGTTCAAAGGACAATACATAGAACACTGGTAACCCTGGATCTGTGGGGTTTTTTCTTATGTTCAGAGGCTTAGTCTTCACACTTACCTTGGACTTGCATGAATTGCAACATGAGAGGATGCTAATACTGCTGCTTTCGTGCAAGTTCTTCAAAATATCAAGACTAAACATAACATTTGTGTATTAGCCTTTTTAATCCAAGATTTAGACTCAAATCTTTCATGATCCTGCTAAAAGTGTAATCTTCTCAGTGTTTCTAAACACAGAGTTGAATGACTTGGTGAGTTCCAACGCCTAAAAACCAAAAAGGAGGTTGTGAAAGATTAGAAAAAGCTTAAGTAGTTGAGTTCAAAATACTTCAGCTGCTTTTCATACTTTTGCAGGGTCGTCTAAAGAGAAATGAGTTACGCATACATACAGAAAGTTTGAGAAAGGGTGATGTAATTAAACTGAGTTTCAGTCTGTGCCTTGGCTGACAATGCTGTCACCCATTTACAAGTTAAATTTCAGAATTTGGATACTAGAGTGATAGAAGTGAGCATCCTCTTGTTTTGAGACGATGGAGACTGAGCGCGCTGTAGATGAGGACTGAGGTGATGATGATCCAGCCACTGTAATTTTATGTTACACACTCAGATAGAATAGCCCTGCGTTATGAAGTGGCTGTCCTTGTGCTGTAGTGTTAGTAAGCTCCGAGATGCTGAGTAGATTTCTGGCAAGGCAGAGGGAAACCAGTCAGCATTGTCATTCAGTGTTTGATGGTATTGGATGTTTATCACAAATCAGTCCAGTGATACCTACTTGACAAGAATTTCTAATTTAGCAACTCGCAACTCATGCCCTCATCAAGGTTTACAGTGAAACTTGATATAGGTCATACAATTTCTCAATAATGATAGATTTGAAGTAGAATTAAGATCATCTCCTTTCATTTTTATGTATTGGATGGAGCATATGGGCTGAGGATGGCAGTATAGGAATAGCTAGTAGCCAGCTTGCTGAGAGACGTTGCCTCTGCAACAGCACAGTGACCTATCTGAAGTGTAAAACGAGCTTCACGATAGAGGTGGTGTCAAAGTAGTTTGGCAAAACAACAGTGTGTGGGAAGTGTTGTTTCAGTTGGGAAAACAGCTGTCCTACTTGGTAAATGACCAGATGGTGATAAAGCATTTGCCAGGTTTGTTGAAGGACAAGATGAATGCTTAGCAGTCTTGTAATTGCTATGAAGCAGCTTTTCCTGAAGGCGTTTACTGTGATGTGCCTAAAACCTAGATTTTATTCTTGCTAGCCTCATGCTCTAAAATACTTTTATTTATGTGGTTTTTTTATTTTAGTACCTTGCACCAGAAGTCATTAAAAAGCAGCCCTATGACAACACAGTGGACTGGTGGTGCCTTGGTGCAGTTCTTTACGAAATGCTTTATGGGCTGGTATGTACTTCATATGTACAAAGGGGCTCTCCTCCTTTATGTGAAGTAACCCTGGGGTGTTGTTAAAGATGCTAACTCTTCCAAAATACTGAAATAGTCCACTTAAATGGAGGAACAGTTTGTCTTACACTTAACATAGCACTTGGTGTTTTCTCTTTTGGATTTTGCCTTGCCTCTTGATGCCTAAAATGTTGCTTTCCTGTGAGCTGCTGGAGATCAACTCTGTTTGAAGACAAGTAGTTATCACTTTGAGGCAATGTGAGAGTAAACTGAATCAACAGTGATAGTACCCAGTTAAAAATAAAAAACCAAAACCGTTTCTAAGTAAAATTTTGCCAAATACTGGGATAAGTTAAATACTTTGTTACTTAAGTCTCCCAGGTTTTCTCATAGCTTTTCCACTTCTTAATGCAGCTCTAGAATTAAAAGATCTTAGAGTACTGCTTCTAGTTATATATAATTAGTCCCATAACAACCCGTTCTGGTAGCTTTCTTGAGTTTTATCTCCCCCCGTGGGATCTTAAACAGGGAAGTAGACTTGGTTTTCCACTCTCATGTTCTTTTCAGGCAAGTTCAATGGGAGCTTTGAAGCTGGGTGGCATCTATAGCTAGTTATGAGTGTGAGAACATCTTAGGAGAAGAGGAGGTGGGTGGGGAAGCCATCAAGTACAAAGATCTGGCAACAGGGATGGCTGAAGTAGAAGTTAGTGCATAAGAGGTAGATTTCTTCTTCACTGGTAGCTTGTGTTTCTTATAGAATCATTTACTGATACACGCATGAAACAAAATGTGGCGTGTGGCTTCCAATTAAAGTATAACTTTCTATCTTTCAGCCTCCTTTTTACTGCCGTGATGTTGCTGAGATGTATGAGAACATTCTTCATAAACCCCTAGTTTTGCGCCCAGGAATCAGTCTTACAGCTTGGTCTATTCTGGAAGAACTTTTGGAGAAAGATCGGCAAAGCAGACTTGGAGCAAGGGAAGATTTTGTATGTAATGTCCGAATTAATCAAGCCCTACTTCATTTAAATGGACATCATCACATACATGCACAGCACAGGTTTAATAGTTTGAGATCGCTCTGTCGCCTCTGTCTTTGTTTTCCTTCTCTTTATTTCTTCATGAAAGAAACCAGTGTGGTTAGTCCCTGGAAGTTGCTGGGGATAGGAGAGAGATGACGATTGTAGGATATAAATATTCTGAGCCGGGTTACTGCTGTACCAGCCCTTTGTGCTGGCAAAGGAAACACAACTCCTGGTACAGTAGTCACTAAGGTGTACTAAGGTAGGTTTCACTGTCTGTTGTGAAACTGGGAAATAATCAAAAGGAAAGGCTATTTTCTGGTGTCAGTTTAAATACATGAAAACCAGCCTTCAGATAAGGTGAACACTAGTACCATGCAAACAGCAGCTGGAGGTTTTTTTAGCTTTAAAATTATGGCAGATGCTTTCCCAGTGTAACCACAAAAACTTTGTTTGCAACAAGGTGATGTGAGAAAGTACAGATGTCCAGAACTCTGTGATGAGGAATGATCTAGAAGGCCCTCTGTCTTTGTTAGTGACATGGATGAT